TATCCAGTAAAATCTCTGTCGTATGTGACTCAATGTCTTCTTGATTCCGAGATGTCCTCCAGTTAAACTATCATGGGATTGACACAGCACAACTTCCCATAACTTTCTCGGTATAACTATTTGCCAGTTCGTCACTTTCCCATCTCCGGAGAAGAAAACCATCTTCAAGCTTCAACTGGTCCCATTGTGCCCAATAGTTCTTTGTCACAGGGCTTAAGCTAGACACCTTCTCCCAAGCAAGGCGCAAAACACTTGCTTGCAGGAAATCAATTATTGGCTTCAAATGTTGGTTTTTCTCCTGGTCTGCTTTAATATCTATATTTGGTTCCACTTCACCATCATCAACTCCTTCAGTCACTTTGACTACAGCTTGATGGCACCTGGTTAGTTCAACCTCTCTTTTGACACTTACCGGAATTTGGCCTTTCTTGTTCCCAAACGTCATTTTGTCAAAGTTAACTACACACTTCCTCGGTAGTAAGTAGTCCAACCCTAATATGCATGAGTTTTCAATGTCAGCCAAGTATACTTTGTGTCTATCGCTGGCTTTATTTGCAGGGCTTATATACTAAAAAAGAGGGAGCCTGGCAAACACTCGTATATTCGCAGAGTTCCTCGATAAGTCATGATCCTTCTAGAAACTCCAGCACGCATGCTCCCAGCGTCGGGTGCCTTCCGCTGTCGTAATATTATGAACAAATATATAGTACCGTACCAGATATTAATATCGTTTACTATAATATGCAATAAGCTATAAAAATTTGGTATCTAGTTAACATACACGTAATTCGAAAAATTAAATATATAAAATTTAAAAAATAACTTGGGTGAGTTATGTACTACAACACACGGGCGCCCGCAGGAAGGGGCAAGAGGTGGCATTTGTCCCCCCTTACATTTCACACAAAATTGCTCGTATTATGATGTAAACTTAACATTGTACTTAAACTAAATATTTTTAGTATTTTTTACTAAAACCGTAAATTTATGTTTGTATTTAAACATACATAACATATTCTTTTGGTCTGTTGACTTACACTGTAAAACCTGATACCCCTATATACATGTTTTGCCCCTCCCCCAAAAACATTTCTGTGGATACCTATGCCACAGCACACATTTCTTAAATGTGCATGCCATGTAGGCAAATCCGTAGCAAATAAATAAAACTGGTATTTATCTTCAGCGTGCTATTTGCTCAACCTACTATAATAATCAAACACTAGAGCATGTATGACCAAGTTGAAAAACACATTTTTTTTTAAATCAACAACTCCGGTGTAATATGAACTACAAACCTGGCACTGCAATTTTAATCACAATGAAACATGATCACACTAGAATAGTTTCTGATATTTTAAAGGCATTCTTGGTTGAACATAATCCATAATCAGTGAACTGCAACAATATCTTTGTTACAAAAAAAGTTAATTGCAAGAAAAATAACGCAACTTCCATGAAACAAGCACAAATGATAAGAATCTATGATGATTCTTAAAACTGGAATGCTCTTTTTTTCAACCAGAAGTTTCAAGATCCGTTTACTAATTATTGTGCTTTGACACTCGCGTATAAAGTTAAAATCATAAATAATTTTCAATGTTAAAACTGGTACACAATTAAAAACATTTTATTTAGGCCTATCTACGACTTTCAAAAAGTTGACGACTCTACATGTTTCGACGTTCCAACGTTTTCCTCATGAGTGAATTACAAGACAATGCTAAAGTATTTATAACATTTTAGTAGGACATGTGACCTGTACGCTATTTTACATAAATTCACGCTAAACCATCTAGAAAAGACAATCTATTATTTTTCTAGATGTATTGGTGAAAAGGAATGTACACGGTAATTTAGAAACATCAGTTTACCGGAAACATTTTTCTGTTCTTATGCCTCCACACCAGGAATCATGTCATACTAGGTCACAAAAACGTCTGTGTTTTATAGTTATGTTAACAGAGCTTTGAAGATATGTACTAACCAAAAGGATTTAGAAAACGAATTGTTATTAATTAAATATATAGCAGTCGAAAGAGGTTTTAACCCGAATATTATAGATAGGGCAGTTAAGAAATTCACTAATGCTATAATAATTGATGAAATTAGTACTTTAAAACCTAGTTATGAAAAAATTAGAAAGGAAGGCTTAATCTTACCATATGTTCCAGGTTTAACTACTAGTTTATTTAAAGTGTTTAAAAAACAACAGATATTCTACCCTATATTTAAACCGATAAATAAAATGAATCAAATGTTAGGTACTACTAAAGACGAAATACAGTTAACTGAAAAAACTGGAATATATAAAATAGAATGTGAATGTGGAAGTATTTACATTGGTCAGACGAAACGTAATTTAAAATACCGTTTAAATGAGCACAAGGGATATGTAAGAAATAAAAAACTGAAAATTCATCCATAGTAGAACATGTACAGGAAACACAACACACAATATTATGGGAAAAACTATAATATTAGCTCAACCAAAAAGTATAAGAGCTAATAATATCCGTGAATCCATAGAAATAATAAAACATAAAAAAAATCATGTAGTATTAGATAAAGATATGGCGAATAGTTCTGCAAGAATGTGGACTGATCTCCTTTGAATGGTTTAGCGTGAATTTATGTAAAATAGCATACAGGTCACATGACCTACTAAAACAATATAAATAATTTAGCATTGTCTTATAATTCCTGAACTGAGTGAAGTATTTATATACCTAGTCCGTTTAAGACCGTATGGTCATCAAATTCCTTTGGGTCCCTAGCCATATAGGAATCCAGGGAAATGAGATAGTTGATAATCTTGCCAAGAATGCGTCAGGGGTCACAAACGTTTCTTTTGAGCTTGGTGAACTCTATGGCCAGGTTTATCAATATATTTTAGATTCCTGGCAAAGTAGATGGAATTCAGGGCAAGTTACTAATATCTACAAGAAAATTGTTCCTGTTGTTTCTTCACACATCAAATATGAATGTACGAACAGACACCAAGAAGTAATTATCACACGCCTCCGTTTTAATTGCACAGGTCTAAATGGACATCTGTACAAAATACAAGTACACCCAAATGGAGAATGCACCCATTGTTCAAATTTTGAAGACCC